GAGTTAGATTTATATCTGGCCAAGGCCTGTCACTCCCTCCCAAACGCTTTGGAGAATTTATATGTTGCGACAACAACAGAGGAACTGCAAGTAACTTAAGTGGCAGCTTTTTTTCAATTGCCCTAATTATTGTTAGTAGCCTAAGTAAGTGCTAGCAAGAAATAATTAAAAATATACTGGATTTTGGTAGTCATACTTACTCTAAAATTACACATAATCTCAAACAAGTTTTTGAAACACTTTATTGATTCATAGTTGATGGTGGCGACATTGTTGGGCACATCGGGCATTTATTGTTGCCATCAACGAAATTTGGGGGGCCACCTGTGTAAAAAAGAAGGCATTCAAAATTAGTTTAAGAAATGAATATAGCAAATATAATTAGAGTTAAAGTTGCTTTAGTTTTATTAAATTACGGAAAAATTCATTTGAAATACATACATACATAATGCCTCTTCAAACTGACTTTCTGCTTGCTTACTAACCACTAAGCATGACCCTGAAACTCACATAATTTCCAGCCATATTTTTCCCCATTTTCTCTCTGAACACATTTTCTCCTTTCACTTTACGATAACTTATTTTATGTCGCACTTACCATGCATAGCGGAATGTCGTGTGTGTGCCGAATGCATCAGCGGTGCAACCATATTTTCCGCGCAATGTAAACGGACGTATGGCGGCGGTGGCAGTGGAGCTGCACCTGTTGCATTCGCATGATACAGATTACTGACGGCATTGTGCGTAGCGCTGCGCAACATATGATACGGTGGCGGCGGTGGAATGGGCGTTGTTGCTGGTGTAGTTGGTGTACTACTATTGCTGCATTGGCTAGCACCACTGCTGGTACTACTGTTGCTGCCGCCACTCAAATTACGCGCCGCTGTATTGGATATTTGCTGGAGCAATCGACAATCGGCAGCCGTGTAAACCGAGCTACTTGTATCGTGTTGTTGGGCATATGAGCCGTGTCCGCTGTCGCTGGATGAAACCGAGCCTGTCGACAACAATGGTCGATTTGGTGCGTTGTGCGGTGCAGTAGGTGCATATTGTTGTTGTTGTTGTTGTTGTTGATGATGATGTTTATGTTTATGGCACATCAGCGGCATTGTTGTGTTGTATGATTGTGGTGGCGTGTGGTTTTGTTCATTTTTGTTTAATACATACATATATATATTTTTTTTGACGGTGTGAAATAATGACGAGACAACAGAAAATTATGTATTGTAAACTAAAAAAAGTTAAAAAATGTTCAAATACCCAACTACATTTGCGTCTCAATTTTTGCAAAACTAAAGCGTATGAATGTGAGCGTTTGTGCATGTAACAATGTACGTGGTAGATGTGTGTAAGCCGACACGCCTTTATACATATTAAATTAAGTAAGCAGCATCTACATACGTTTCGGGAAGGTGGTAGGGAAAAGCCGAAATAAACAAAAGAATAATAAATCAAAATAAATAGAAAAAATAATCGCACACCTGCTTATGTGGTGTGTGTATCTATGTACATACATATATAAATGTATAATATGCAAGTTAAGTTTACGAAGCGACAATAGTGTGGGAAAGCTTGACAGTTTCAAGTTACTGCAGGCGGATCAAAATACAGTGTATTCAAGTTAATTCGCGGTCGCTGGATTCGATTTTGTACATAATTTTTCCGTTCAAAGACCCAAGAAATTGTTTCTTTAATTTGTAAAAAAAAAAAACGATATATACAAAAAAATTTAGAAAACATGTTTACATGGTTTGCAAACTCATCTAAAAAACGTACAGCAAAAAAATTTTAGGAACGGAATCCTGAATTCAAAATTTTCCAGTTAATTTTTATTTGGTTTTTGGATAATTTTTATACCCGAGCGCACTTGTGCACAAGGGTATTATAACTTTGTTCACATAACGGTTGTTTGTAACAGGCAAAACGAATCGAGATAGATATAGACAAATGTATACATAAATGCTCAGAATGAATAGAGAAATCGATTAAGCCATGTCTGTCTGTACGTCCGTCCGTCCGTCTGTGCACACGATAACTCGAGCAAAAATTGAGGTATCTCAACGAAATTTGGTATGTACATAGGTTTCCGTTAATCCAAGGTAGGTTGGTGTTGAAAATGGGCGAAATCGGACTGTAACCACGCCCACTTCCCATATAACGGTAATTTCCAGAAATATGAAAACTGCGATATTTTAGTAACTACTGAAGATAATTCACTAAAAATTGATATTTACAATAATTTTCAGACGAAAAATAAGAATATTATAAATTTTTGGAAAATGGGCATAGCCACGCCCACTTATGATTACATGTGTATATCTTGGTAACCGCTGCACCAATTTCTTTCAAACTTGGCACAGTTGTTGGCCTTCGCACAACATAACAAATGGCCGAAAATTTTTAAAATCGGACAATAATCACGCCCACATCCCATATAATGGTAATTTAGAGAAATACGAAATCTTCGATAAATAAGTAAATATTAAAGCTAATTTATTCAAAATTGATGCTTGCAATAAAATGGTAAAATTTTGGAAAATGGGCGTGGCACCGCCCACTTATGATCACATATATGTATATCGGTAACCGTTCTACCAATTTGTACCAAACTCGGTATTTTTATTGTGCTTGCCACGTAAAAGCAAAACGTTGAAAATTATTGAAATCGGACTAAAATTACGGCCGCTTTTCATATAACGGTGAATTTCAGAAATGCTTGAAACTGCAATATTTCGAAATTTAAGGACGCTAATTTACTCAAAATTGATACCGGCTTACCATCTAGCGGTAGGTTTCGGAAAGTTGAAAAAACATATCATCGTTTAAAGTACAAAACCGCGTATCGTCGTTCTGCAAAACCGCGTAACTGACATTGGCTGCCAAAAATTGGATTTGCTCACACAAGCTCTTGGCTCAATCCTTATCCATTCGTCGTGGAATATACTAGCCAGAAATGCGATTGATTTATAAAAAACAAAACCATTTTGAATTATGAGTGTTTTTATGCTCTAGAAAATAATTTCTACAACTTCACATACGCGGTTTTGCATTTTGTTGATACGCGGTTTTGCACTTTAAAAGACGATATATTTAATACTTGCGCCGGGTATTTAATGTTCGGCTCCACCCGAACTTAGACTTTCTTACTTGTTCATATTTCTTTTGAAAAAAATATATATATTTCTATCGCACATTTAATAATATACAGAATTATTTCAAAATTTCAATTTTGTTGGAAAGCGCAATCAAAGTTTTATCAATTCATACAATTGGTATACAAAAAAGACAGCTGGAAAGGAAAATATCTTCGCCATTTTTGGGAGGTTTAGTAATCTGTTAGGCTAAACATATTCCCCTTATCAATTCTATGATTAAATCTCCAAAAACGCAAATTTTTAATTTTATCTCTAAAAGTTAAAAAAAATAGCTTGTAATAAAAGACCTAAACACATGAATAGTATTTTTTTGACCTTTAAATGACCTCAAACCCCACGTGATGCAGATTAACAGACCTCGGATTCGCATTCAGCGCATCGAATAACATTCCTCTACATGTTTGGTTCAATATGCAGAAGCTTTTTTGTTGTACACCGTAAATTTTTTATAAAAAAAAGTTCATAAATTTGCATGCAAATTTTCTACTTTTTTATCTGACCTTTTTATATTTGTTTTTGAGAATGCAGTTTTTTAGCCCATTCAAAAAAATGCGAAACAACTTCAAAAATTTTTCAAAATCAACGCATTTTTAATGGTAGATGTGTGTAAGCCGACAGGCTTTGTGCAAAAAAAAAACTGCATACTCAAGTAAATTCAAAAAATCTGATTAAAAAGATGAAAGTCTGCATGAAAGTTTATTGAGATATCCTCAGTTTTGAACAAAGGTATTTTATGTTTTTTTTTATTATAGTATGAAGCATATTTTTAGCGGAATGAGCGAAAAAATTTAAAAAAAAATTGTTGCATATATTGTGGAAAATTCTCTGTGCCCAGTACTTTTTGTCGTGAGTGTATAAGGAAGGAAATAAACAACACTCAGTGTAAAAATTTAATATAACTATTTTATGTGTACAATTATTACTAAAAAAAGATTTACAAGGATCAATTCCCAATTCCATTAATTTTGTTGTTTACTTTTTTAAACTTTTTCTTTTTTTTCGTGTAAAGACCAAAATACTAGAGGCCAAAAGAGATCGAAAGTATACAATCTTAGCGTGGGAATATAATTTTTAGTTATCGACCTTTAATGGAACAAAAAAACTATTCAAGGCGAATTCATATAAGGTGGTAGCGGCAGCACAAAATAAAAAAAAACTGCACTAACAAATTATACGCACAATGGCAATAGGAACACAACAAATGTACAACAAGCACATCGTTTTGACAATCAGTACAACCGCGGAGTGAATCTAACTGACACCGCTAACACCACTTTATATGGTTTCGCCTTGAACTTTTTCTTAGAAAATATTTATATTCGCCTACTTTTTCAGTTAGGGAATTCACAAAACGTGGTAAGCGTCGTAATGTTTTGTAAAACGCCTAAGTGGATAATATTTATTTTTTTTTTTTAGTTTTGGCTTTTCGAGGGAATTATTAAATTTTTTTTGTTATTATTTTCTTTTAGGGCCGTCAACCTATCTGTTTTAAGGTATAGTTAAACTTAGTTTTTGCTTTTCGAGGGAATTATTAAATTTTTTGTAATTCATTTTTGTTATTTTTTTCTTTTAGGGCCGTCAACCTATCTGTTTTAATGTATAGTTAAACTTAACTACATAATTTTCTATGGAATTTTCCGTAGTTAAGTTTAGCTAATGATTTAACTATATTCTAAAATATATAAGTTAACGGCCCTTGATGTATTATTTAAAACTATTCAACACCCAATAACCATTTTTTACAATAGCATGTTTTGCTAAGAATTTTGGTGGAAAAGCAAAAAAGCGGTGAATGCACTTTGAGAGAAGCCATTGAGTTTCAAATGAAAGCGCCAAGGAAAGGAAACTTGCTCCTAAAATCTGACAAAAATTGCTCGAACTGTGTTTTAAGATTTTTATTTTAAACAATTTTTTGTTTCTGTAGTCAATGAAAGAAAAAATCTATGTATGGATTCGAACACAGCTTTCTTTAAATACATTAAATAATTGTTTATTTATATCTCGAAATACGTCATATAGTACAACAACAACGAATTATCTTCAACCATAAACTATATTCTCTAGGTCAAGCTTTTTGAGACTAAAACGCCAAACAATGCCAAATGGCAGACACTTGAAGCTAACCTAACATCAAAAGAAAAGAAGAACATCAATGCCCCGTTTACATTATGCCAGACCAGTGACTAATCCATGTCTAACCCTTACTAAAGTAAGTAGTAAGGATTACTACAGTGAGTGGTAGGGAATAGACATGTACTGAACATGGATTAGAAACATGAGCCACTTAACGGTAGCAAGTTTTTAGTTTTAGAATTTTGCATTGTGTCGTTATTGCAGAGGATCATGGATATATCAATTCACTGTATGATGCTCTCAAAGCACTGGTATGCCAGCGGATTGTTCGTCTAGATCAGGGATTCTTAAACTTTTAAGATGATGGAACCCTTACTAAACACCTTTCATTTTATGGAACCCCACATCAAATTACTAAAAATCAAAGGCAGTGTAATTTAAATAAGACTAAAAACTTTTACTAGAAATAGTATACATACTTTAAATTTTAATGTGAAGAATGAAATTGTTTCACTGTTATTAATTATCGTAAAAAAAATAGTAGTTCGATATAATGTCCAAAAGCTGTATACGCTTTTCTGGGGTAGCATCCAATTTCGATCTGATTTTTTTTTTTTTAATTAATTTCGCGGAACCCCGGTGACTTTTCTACGGAACCCTTGGGTTCCGCGGAACACACTTTAAGAAGCTCTGGTCTACATTATGCCAGTTGAAGTGGCATGAAAAGTAGACCGATATTCCAGTTGCTGGCATGAACTTTTCATTAGAATGAGTTAATGCCAATAACTGTTTACATTATGCCAGTAACAGGACTGGCTCACCACTGACATAATGTAAACGGGGCATACTATTCATATACTATAACACTCAACTATGCAAAGAAATATTTTAACAACTTATACTTTTACTTAAACTACTTAAAAAGCGTAAGTACTATTTATATTATGGTATGGAGTATACATAGTTTCGAAACCAGATTTAGTCACAAAATTCTTTATGAAATAACAAGTTGTATTGAAATTTACATCAAATCCAACACCAGCATGCAAAGTTACCAGGTTATAAAAAATTGTATCTATGTACTGTATGTATACAGTTTATAGTATATTTAAAAATGTTTGAAATCATAAAGGGATAGCCAGAGGGATTTGCTTGTAAGTGTGACGTTTATTTCCAAGGCAGATTTCAGACCATTTACATCTTCTTTTAATTCAAGACTCTAGAGATATAAAAAAAAGCTGTATATAACTTCACGATGCCCTCACAGTACGCCTACTTGACGGACAGATCAGTGCAATTTGTCTTGCACACAATTGTTAAAGATATGGAGGAGTCGTTTATAAGCAAATACTACGTGGTTAACTCCGCTGATAGTAAGGGTATAAGAATTTCTTTGACATGCGAGCGCTGACCGAAATACACCATTTCAATATAAATTTCTATCACTCTTCCGCTTAAGATTTTCTTTGATCATCTGATTGAAAATGCTTCTCATAAAACTATTTACAGTTCGGAGGCGGCATAAAATTGTAGGTCGCTCCACGAATGCAACAACATCAAGACGCACACCACAAATTGGAGGAGAAGCTCAGACAAAAACTTAGCAAAAGCGAAAGCGCCAAAATTATTATTATTCAGTTTCAGTCAACAGTTTTTTCTATAGTTTAAATTCCGCAATTTGGGGCTGGTCTAAAACACTATTAGGATCAATCGATTGTTTTCGTTTTAATTATTTAAAAGTCTAGCTCTTTCTAATGCCATCTGTACCCGGCTAAGACAATGATTAGCTTAGTGCTTTCCATGTAAGCTTGAAAGCTGGGATTGGAATGAGCGAAGAACTCTGGTAGTTAGGATCACAAGTGGTTAGATTACTATGTTACTGAGATCAACTTAATCAGGCATATTGTGGTTTAGTCTAATCTTATTACAGTATCAAAAAAACTAACCTTCACCGTAAGGGCTGCGTTATTACTTTCTAACTCAATACTCAACACAACTAAACCAATTCCGCCGCGCGATACTACATAAACGCAATTCATTTAAAATTCTACACTAAAGCTGATAATTTAAAATCTCCAACCCACTAATATATTCTAACTGTTTTGGTTAGTAAGCAAGTAAGGAAGTTAATATTTAGCAATAAAAGTTTTATAATAATTTCACAAATTTTCTATTACCTAAAAATTAAAGAAACGTAAAAGGTAACGTACCGGAAGTTACAGATTTGCGCAATGGCAAGTCCCGAAATGTAGTTACGCTGCTGCTCTCTACTGACAAATCAACAGATGGTAATGGTGGCGTTGGCGTATCCGAATGTGAACGTTCATGTATGGCACGCGCGGGTACCATATTGCCTGCATGTAAATGGCCAATTCATTAGTAAACTAATTAACATATTTAAAAAATATCTTAAATATTACTCACCAGCTGGCATCGAATTGCTGCCGGACGCCAAACGTCGATGCGAACATGGACTTGGCGTAGTCGACACACCAGCCGTTGCAGTCAGCGGCATGCCAGCCGCCGTCGAGGTGAACGCATGCGCGAGCATATGATGTGGCGTATTAACTAGCAGTGGTGGCGGCGGTGGTGGCATGCCCGAATGACGCTGTGTAAACGGCTGATGTGGGCGCACTTTTGTTGGGTCGGAGAGCGCAAGTATCTTTTTGACCGCTTGCGGTGAGGCGATGCCAAATTTTGAGTTGTTATTGTGCGCCATATTACGACGATTGTGATGATCGCTGGTCGACGATGTCGAGCTGGTTGTGGAGAGTGTCGGCGAGGAGGGATGACGTTTACGCAAAGACAATGACGAGTTGGGCGCCGAAGACGAAGAAGTGTGCGAATAGATGCTCAACTGATCACCACTGCGCATCGACGAATTTCCGGTGCCATCACGACCCAAACCACTTTCGCCACGCGTACTACTGCTGCTGCCACCATGCGTTTGTGAATTAGAAGCAGGTTCGCATTCGAGCGAGAATTTGTGCAGTGCATCCTCGTCGTTGATGATTTTTAAATTGTTAAGATAGGCCTTGACACGACGCACCATTTGTGCTTCTTCGAACATTTTCTTGGGGTTGGGCGCAGCTGTTGACTTCTTGCGGCGCTTGATTGTCGACTGGCCGGCATTGGCGGCGATGACGGTGCTATGTGTGCCACCGGCACTTTGTGAAGTAGAAAGCTGATTGAGCGAGAAGAGCGCATTCGAGGGCGATTGACCTTTGAGTTCGAGTATGGCGAGCAGATCGTAGGGCGAGGAGCACATATGCGTCAGTAGACGTACCTCCTTGGCGAGCATGCGCAATTTCTCAAAGTTGATAAGACCATCTATACGCGTATCATTTCCGAGATGAATGAAGGTGAGATCCTTTTTCACAATTGGATAGAATGGTATGATGGGATGTTGTGCGAGCAGTTCGGAGGAAACCAGTTGTCGGTATTTCGACATATTGCGTGATGGATCCATTAGGTCTTGCAGGTCGGAGAAGAGACGTTGGTACTTAGAAGGCAATTTTTCCCAAGTGAGTCGCAGACGTGACACAGCCGCATGCCCAAGACCGGATATAATGGCGAACATTGAGTTGAAGTTGCGACACTCCTTGCAGTGGCGTGCGATTTTTATGAACTGCTTGACAATTTTCATGCGGCGCACAATGTTGTGCTCGCTGCAGATCTCGGTCACCACCCAAAACATTTCACGGTTGACGAGCTCGGCGAATTTCGACAACATCGGCACCCCATACTTTGTTTGCAGAGTGAATAAATCATCGATATATTCAGTAGATTCGATTTGCCGGAAGATAGCGAAATCCTGCAGCGTTAACTGTATGGCCAATTCGTAGGCGTTCAGCTGTAAAAAGTGTACACTTGACTCGCGCACCAGTTCTAGCGCTAATTCGTCCGGCACCAGCGTCTCAGTGCTGCCATTTGTTTTGAGATAGTAGCGCGCAGCAAAGCCAATCCGTTCGGCGAGATTTTGCAGCTGATCGGGCAGCCGTCGCTGTTTCACCATGCCACCTTCGCCGACGCTAACCTCACATAGTGAATAATTCGAGCTCGGATCGTGGATGCCGAACTCCTGCAGCGCTAGCATGACCACTTCGTGCGCCGTCGTTTCCTTGTTAATGAGTAAATATTTACATGACTGGTCTGCTTTAAAGACTTTTAATACATGCTCAGGATAATCAGGTAGCATTGCAGAACTTGTTGTGGAAACAGCCGAAGGTCGATGCATGGAGGCAGTCAGGTAGTTGGGTGTGGGCGTGGGCGCTGTTGCAGTGCTGGTTGCCAGGGAATTGGAGTCTTCGTAAAGCAGCGATGAACTCAAATCGGGATTGGACTGCGATTGGTAAAGGCGATTGCCGCCGCCGCCACCGCAAGTGGAGGAGGAACTGGATGAGGATGTTGTTAGTTTGCCTTTTTGTGACATCGTTTCAGTAGGCGTGGCTATATCAACAGAATCATTTAAACCCGAACCGCCGATGCTTTTGTGCTGCAACAAATTCATTTTCGCCAGCGCTTTCTGTAACCGCCGCTTTGGCGCAAGCGTCATGAAACCGCCACCCTTTGCGCCACCACCACCACCACCGCCGCTGCAACCAATGCCATCATTGCAATTCGTTTGCGCATCTTTGCGCCCTGAAGCATTGCTGACACTCTGCAACAGATTGGACATAAAATTGCTGGCCATATTGCCACCACCGCCGCTAGGCTGCTGCGGCATGACCGCCGGTGGTGTCGCGGGTGGACAGCAGTCCGTCTGATCTGTGGGCAACAGCATATCAACCGAGCTGAGTCGCAGTATATGCGAACGATTTGTAGTTGTCATATCATCCAACATGCAGCGGCCGTGCAACTTTGCAATGTCATTGGCGCATATTCGCCGCGGACTGCGCAGTGACTTGGAGCCCATCGAGCCACCGCTGCTGCCACTGCCACTACCGATCGGCGTACCAGCGCCATTGCTACCGCCACTTCCGTTGCCGCCCTGCTCAATAGCCAACATCATTTCCTTGAAACCTAGCAGATTGCTTTTCACTGTTATACTCAGATGTGTGCTGGCCATTAGTATTTCCATGGCGCGTTTGCTAGTCACATGCTCGAATGACTGCCCGTTTACTTCGTGTATTTGATCGCCGCGCTTAATCCCAATATCTTGTGCCTTTGAGCCGGGCACTACATGTGCAATGTAGATGCCACAACCGCCTCCACCGGTGGCTGCCGTAATGCCGCGCATCTCATAGCCGCCGATTATATTGAAATTCAATGGCTCATCGCGAGATGAGCGCGTCAACGTACAACTGCGCATGCGCGCCTTGGCCGCGCACGCTATATGCAACAAACGCAGTTGACTCAACAGCCGCGTATGTTCCAAGCCAGCCTCGAACACCTCCAGGAACTCCATCATTTCATGATCAGCCTCAAAATCGGTAAAGTGATTGTTCACCCACAGCAGTACAACGCGTGTGACGCGATCTCTAATCTCTTGTGGCGAAGCGCTGCTGCCCTTCGGCGGCTCAGAATCACACTCGAACCATGCGAGCAGCTTCTGTGTCAGCTCTTGTGGATTCTTGATGAAAATGCGCTGCGTTAGCAAAAAGTCCTCCACATATGTCGGATCAGTCATTGAATTCTCCTCCACTAGCTGCTGCAGCAAACGTTCTGGCGTGCCGCGTATCACCACATGCCCACGCTTCATGCCCGCTGCGCTCGTCGCGGATGTATTACTGCCAGCGCTAGCATGGTCATTGCTGCCAATTTGACGCAGCTCAGTGACCATTACAATGCGTCCGTCCTCATCCTCATGCCGTCGCGTATTCTCCTCACCCTGATGCTGTATGCGATAGTAATCGGTTTGTGTTATACAAACAAACTGACAGTCATCGCACTTTGTGCGCATCACACCACGATGATACAGCTTATCCATAGTGGGCAATATGCCAAATGAATCGCCCATTTGTAACTCCTCACGCGAGCCATTCGCATGCTCGATTTCCACAGCGCCATTGATGAGCACCGACCACGAATCGAGCTCCTCGCCATCGGACATCACCACCGTACCGGCCTTGTCGACCACAGCAAAGACCATAACGGCGCAGAGCGCACGTCGTACGGCTAGTGTAATATTGGTGAAAGCCTTTAGACCCTGTGTGAATTCGAGCAAAATTTCTACATCTTCCTCAGTGCGTTCAGAGGGGTCTTTCTCCAGGCAATCGCGCACAGCATCGCGAACATTTAAGCTCTGGTAGAGAAGGAAAATGAGAGTGTGTGTAAAGTTAAATAAGAAAAAGTAGAGTTGAAATGCATATCTATGGCGAATATGCGACTCACATCCATACTCTCGGCTAAGTCCTCCTCGTCAGAGTCAACCACCGACTCCACCAAGCCAGAGAGGTCAATCTCCTCGGCGTCCATTGATGAGCCGTACACAGATGCCATGGTATCACTGCCACTGTACGCTGAGCTAGTGTCACTCGAATGTGAGCCGCGATTGCATTTCTGCTGCAATTCTGGGCGCGTGGGTGGATACTGGCAAGCAAAAGAAGGAAAGGAAAACAATATTAAATATAACAATGCTGGGCAGTGGCTCTTAGTTCAACACAACTTACATGATGTCTGATATGATGATATGGATCCATTAGTTGCCGATAGTGTTGTCGCGCGCTTTGTGGCGCTTTTGGTGCTTGTTTAATTTAACACTTATTCTACTAGTGGCTAATACCTAATGCAGCTAAATTTCGTAGTTTGAATTTGCTGTCGTGCTTCAGGGCGCTGAAAACGCGCATACAATAAAAAGGTGCCTGATATGTACTTTTCTGTCTTAGAGCTTGCGGTAGCTTAGCTGGAAATTGGATTTTGTTGAAAATTTTCTCACAGTACGTATGACGAACTTTTCAAGCTTAGTAATACGTACATATTTTTGCGTGCTTATACACTTTAGATTCAAAGTTAATATGCAGCTGACTTCGGTTGCGACTTTCTTTTGATGTTCTTGCAGTTTGTAAGTATCTATGCTGCCCCTGCTGCTGTTGCGGCCGTCATTGTCGGTTTTATTTTTCAATTATGGCTCATCTATTGTTGTTGTTAGTTCATGTTGCTGATTTTTTATTTTTTTACTTTGTATGGCGGCATTAAGTAGCCAGCAATCAGATTGATCGTCGACCGTCTACTTGAAGCACTGTAAAAACACGAATTAAATTACTTTCAATTAGCTTATGTCTGCATAAGTAGATATTATTTATGTGAGTATAATTGCACGATATTCAAATTAACATGGTAAATAAATAAATAATATGATTATTGTATAATAAACTTATTTAGGCGCATGATACTGACAGCACCGACAAATTGCATCGCTGATGGTCTCGCCCCATCACAATACCAAATGAGTAGCATCATTTCACTGCCTTATTAAAGGAAGGCAGAAAAATGAAAGCATTGCCTATCCACTTGCAGCACAAACACTCACTAACCAACCACCCACCCACCCTCTTACAGATGATTGTACATATACATATATGTACATACATACATACGTGGCGTTATGTTGAGCGTGTGTGTGTGACTGTTGTTAGCGCTCATATGTACATTCTTGCATTTATTGTGTGACGACAACGGCTAGTATATCTGCCCGCACATATTTGTCAGACCCTATAGTATGGCTTATTTGTCTGGTGCCACTTGACTGGCCGCACAGCAACGCAGCGCAGTGCAACGCAATGTAATGCAACACACTCCACTACTGCATCTCAGCAGCCCTCGTCGTCTACATTGATTTTCATTTTTATCCACTGTTTTAACACAATAGCCAACATTCTTGTAATGCCAATATCAAAGAAACCAAAAAAAAAAAAAAAAAAAAAAAAAAAAAAAAAACAATAGAAGTAAGTAGTTATACTCACACACTACTATCTACTGGCATTTTTATAACACTCAGTATGAGACGTAGTTGACTGGAGCATAAGATCACAGGAAGCGCAGCACCAAGTGTGTATTGTTGTCGGTCACTGACAATCAGGGCATAGCGAAATAGTGGCCCATAACAACTTTGGAACTGGAAGCAACTATGTATGAGGCGACATATGAATTGAATAATTAATAGGTTCATTCCTTATCTTTTTGGACTAAAATCTGAAAAGTGTCAAAATGCCAGAGCGTAAGCAAAATGCGCTCACTAAAAGAGAGTAATAGGAAAAGTAAAGGAACGCAAAAAACCAAATTTTTAGTCCAAAGAATGGCAACAACAAAACTAACGTCAAATAAGAACAGAAATGTATGTACAAAACACATTCACACAAGCACAAGCACAATAAACACTTGCTATATCAATTATTTTTTGCCTCCTTCCAATTTCAATTCATTTTTTTTACTTTTTAGATTATTCTCACTTTTTGCGTATTCTTTAATTTCCGTTAATTTAAATTCAGTTGAGTTTGACACTTTTCAGGATTTTGCCAGAAAAAATTCTTCTGACTAAATCTGACTACTTCGGACTGATGAGAGTCGCTCTCACTGACTGTTGCTCTCTCATTTTTGCTGTCATTTCTGAGTTAAGGAACGCTTTTTGGACTAAATCTGACTACTTCGGACTTTTTCTGACTATTTCTGGGAGATAAGGAACGCGCATAATATGTAGCAGCTAATATGGTGGTAAGTACATATGTGGGAGTGATGGTTTTGGCATACAAATGAAATAGAGAAATAAAAAAAAATGCAAAAATTAGCGGATTGATGTAAACTAAGTTTTTTTCCAGGGCATATCGAGAATTGATAAGACGTTTTAGCTCCCTTAGGCCCCTGTCACACGGTCAGTAATTTTTGTGGTGAACGCTTATTATGACGCAAGAAAATATTTTTATTTTGTACGTATAATTTGCAGATAATGCATTTCACAATTATTTTAAAATTTCCAATGTTAATTAAAATTTTTTTCTATTTGTTTTGAAAGGTTTTAAGCACCGAGAGTGAAGGCAGAGCGAATACGTTTTCGATGCTCGCATTATGGGAGTACAAGATGTACTGACGAATGTATGGATCGCGTTTTGAAAGTGCTACATGTTCAATATTTATTGACGGTATTGCGATCCGCGATCCAGATTTCAAAATTTTTAGAAATTTTGCGATATGGATTACAATCCATCAATACTACATACATGCTACGCCGTCAATAAATATCGCGATATTTGGATCACGTCAATAAATACTGACCGTGTGACAGAGCCCTTATAACATGTCCCCACCAAAAAGTTAACCATCTCAAATCGAACTTAACCACATCACCAACTATTGCTGTCCACCCTGCGGTTTGAGGTTTATAATGCAGTAGAAATGTAGAGAACAGTGTTCGGACCTCCAAAACTCGATTCAGGACTAAAAATCTGAGCAAAAACAAATTTTCCGTACTAGATTGAATTTTTTATTTTCGTTTCTGACATTAATTGTTTGACTTAAATATTTTCTATTCATGCAAAATTAAGAACGCGAGGCAATGTAAGGATAATATGTTAAATATTTAGATAATATTTAGCATTTTCTATGAAGTAGAACGTTTCTAACACTTAATTTTTTTTAAGAGCAATAGGGTCTAAACCTTTTCTAATTTATACAAATTTCATTCTGCATATATTTTTAAACAACTAAACTCCAGTTCTGCATCCGCCAATTTCTACAGCCATACATCAAAAATTAACCAAGTTAATTTATTGACGTATTGCTATGAAAGAGTTACTTTTTAACAGTGAGATCTGGCTAACTTTAAATTTTTTTTTACTGAAACCGGTGGTGAACACTCAAAAACTGGTCCCAAGAGGGGCATAACAGCAATGAAAAAAAAACGGAATAGATTTGAAGTCAAGCGGAGTAGATTTTTTCAAAAACCGGAGTAAATCTAATCTGATCTTAGTAAGTCCAAACACTAGTAAGAAACGAATTTTTTACATTTTAACGCTAATGACCCACAGATTGCGGGAAAACACAGGGCTGTATCAGACTTTCGACATGGTTTCGAGTTGGTTAGCTTTTAACCATCTCAGTGAAATGGTTAAGTGCTGTCATTTTTATATGGCGAAACTACGCTAAATGAAGTGGGTTATCGGGATAACCAACTCAACAGCCATAAATACGTGGTTAGCTCCGGTGGGGACATGGTATTAGAGTGAGCCAGATAATAAATAAGAAATATAAAAAATATATCAGTGATAATATTGATTTATATCGATAAATGCAACGATAAATATTTTTTATATCTAAACAATATCGCTAAATGTGTTGATAGTGACAATAAATGCCTCAAAACGTGATAAATATGTTGGTAACGTTATCGATAAATATATCGATAATAGGATATGTTTGTTGGTAACGTTATCGATAAATATGTTTGTTGATAACGATATCGATAAGTGCATCGATAATCAGCATACAAATTTTCAGGCACTTTCTTCCATACAAAGCATGTTCGACAATTTTTTTTATAGAAGAAAATAACAAAACCATCAGAAAATAATTTCACAAATCACCGCGAATTCTTGGCCACTTGAAACTTGCACTTTGTTATGCTAAAATTTAATGGCCTATAACACTGCATTCTCAGAATTCAGAAAAATTATTGATACAAAATATTTTGGTGGAAAATTTTGTTGAAATCTTCTAATGCGCTCGCAACAATTAGAATTTTTATTTGAAACATTTTTTCCGCTAATTTTTTCTTAAACCATTAAATATAACAAACAAAATAAAACAATCTTGTAACCCATTGAATTTTATTTAGTATATCTTATAAGTGCGCAAGTTTTTGGTAACTAGTACTTACCGCTGATTTTTGGAAATTTTTGTTTTGTGGACAGTCAGTCAAGATCTTCATTTACGAAACCCGTTTGGATTATTTTTTATCGAAAAATTTAAAATCACGAAAAACAAAAAATAACCATTTTGCAATGATCTAAAAACAAATATCTTGGTATCTTGATATTTAATAGTTAATTTCGGTCCCGATTTTAAAGTTTTTAAAAATTAACCCTTAGAAAAAACCTTTTCTAAATTAGATTTTGCCCGGACTAGAGTTCCAACACAGCTCTAACCACTCAGCCACAGCGGCAGCAATGTGCATATACTATTATTAGTGTTGGGAAGAAATCGAGTGCTTTTGAGGATCGAGTTCTTAGATATCGTACTTTCTTTAAATATACACAGGTTGGAAACATTTTAATGCTTAGAATAGAAATCTCACAAGCTGGCAACACTTTATTCAAATTAATATATTAGTAGCAAATTACGTCGATTGAGTGGCTACTTGAAATTGAGTACGATCATTTCTGAATATCGGTAAAAACACATAGAACGCAGTAGTTCGAACTCAGTAGTTCGTAGCAGTAGTTCGAACTACTATTCGACTCTTAATACTGAGTGATTTGAATCGATCCCGAGTACACGTATCAAAGTGATGATTGGAACAGAGTATTTGTGAGTACTGAGTACTTTTGGGGTACTTCGGAGTACTCAGTATCGATACTTTTCAAAATTGGGTACTTCGATCCTTTTGTGAATCGAGTTCCGAGTACTTTTGGTATCGATACTGCCCAACACTAATTATTATTATTATTTCTACACTCGTAATTTATTGCAAGAATTATTATCAACTTCCATGCAATTGATTAATCGCACTCACCTTAGTTTATCTTTATTAAAATTGATTGCAAGTGGATTTGTTTGAATTGGAATTATGCAATATGATGATTGATTTGTTACAAAGGGGAACATAGGTAATTATGTTTAATTACTTTAATTTATGTAATTAAATTATTATGATATGTCATAGGCGAATATATTATTAATCTACATATTCACACACAAATATACGTAATACAAGCAATAATGGCAATGGTTCAATGAAAACACTTTTCTATGGGATCGAGTTAAAACATGAAAAAAAACTCCCGAAAAATCAGAGAAGATGTTTGATACATACAAATGTATGTCGTTGCAGTTTAGGCGGCTAACTTTCCACCAAAAAATGCAGTGGACGACAAGGCTCATAATAAGGTCATGGTAGTCTATACTATGTCTTACTTTATGTAAGCCCTATTTCGAAGGGGCGATAAGGCTTACAATAAGGTAATGATATTCTGTACAATGCCTTATTATAAGGATTAGTGTAAGCCCAATTTCGAACGAGATATAATGTCTTATCATAAGACCTTATATAATCCTTATTTTGAACAGCAGTTAATACAACTGGTATACCTTACAGTCTCATGTATTAAAACTGTAAGACTTGGAATCATATCAAATAAGGCTCTTATAAGACGCAACGTTCTTGATGGCTTATAACGATCTGAGCCCTGGGCGCTTTCTGTGTCTCGTATGAGCTCCGGTTTTTCTTTCTATTTTATTCTGGAGGGTGCGACTTTGATGTACTACAGTGCACCTCACTGTGTCGACGTACAAGTCTTTTAGAATGTTCATGTAACACGCTTACGTGATGGAAACTACTAGGTACAGTTCAAACTTATTTCTCTTAGTTCGGCAAACTTCTCGTAACGCGCTTACGTGATGGAAACTTGTAGGTACAGGTCAACCTCATTTCTCTAGTTCGGTAAACTTCTAGGGAGCAGAGCATTTTTGGGTTGATTACTGCGGTGATATTCCAAATGGCATTGTATCGTTAATAGGTTATGTTTAGATTGGTCCAAGCAAGGGCAAACTTGGATTCAGTCCATCGTAATACTGCTAAGCTATGGCGAGCAGGGAACAAAAATTCTCAGACCAGTGCTTAATCTTAAGACCACAATGAAATCAATTTAAGGTAGGTTAGCTTTTGGAATTTCGACGCCGTCTATACAAACATGGCCACATAGACTGATTTAAGCTTGCTTTTGACCGCATAGCATGCGATAGGGAAAATTTTTACGTTCGTCACCGTGAAACTTTGAAGGAATTTGCAAGATACAAAGGATTACCATTAATTACCTCGCTCAAGAGGTAACACGTAATTTTTTTTTGTTACCCATCAAAATAAACAGCGTCTGATAGAGACCAGGCCACTTTAACCCAATAAACGTCGCTTTGATAGCTTAGCTAAATATTTCATAATTTCAATTACGCATCGAACTGTCAACATAATCGAAATTGATGACTAAATCCCTCTATTTTACCTTCACTGCCTTAATACCAACAACGCCCCCTTCGAAATTTGTAAATATTCGCAGACTTAAATAAAAATATGTGTTTCAGTGGCTCCAAAAAGTAATCGGACAAGCTTTTGTTAGTGTTTGGCCGAATTTCTCTGACATTCTACTGATAGTATGCTAAATTAATTAAAGTCCCCACTTTGTCCGCGCCTTCGTTGACATTTCCGTTTAGAACGCTTGGAAAGGCGATATTTTCGAAATTATTTCGGAATTTTCGTTATATTTATCGATCTTGTTGTCGATGTACTTTTCGATATTGTTATCGATATATTTATAGATATGTTTTTTGGATGTAATAATCGATCTTTTCATTTATATTTTTATCGATATAAAAAACCGATATTGCTATTGATATATTTATGAACATATTTATCGATACTGTTATCGATATAATAATCGATATGTTTATAGACATTTTCACAGGCATTTTTTTTTAGTCTTCTTTATTTTTTATGAATTTTGGTGATAGATTAAG